GACGGACGGACGGACGGACGGACGGACGGACGGAAGGACGGACGACGGAGGACCGACCGACAGACAGACAGACAGACAGACAGACAGACAGACAAGCCGTTCTGTTTGTCCAGAAGAACAAAAACAAGAGCCACGTCCGTCGACACATTGTCATAAAAACAAAAGACAAAAACAGTACACTTAAAAAAAAAAAAAAAAGTCTCACCTTCTTCCTCCAGGGCGGGATCACCGGAGTACTCCTTCACGGCGGCCATCTTGGAATCGTCCTCCGGACACGCCAGTATCCGATTATCTCCCTGTTTCTCTAGCACTCCGGGGTGTATGCCCTATATAATCCAACAAGCCTTCCACGGGAGCACAAAGAAAGAAATCTCCAGCGCACAATAACCGCACCAATCTATTCTCGGTCGAGACTACGTAGGACGTCTGAGAATTGCCCCTTTCCGGAGCATCTCTTTCAGGAAATTGCGCGTGATTTTTCCCTTTATCCGGTTGGCCTCTTTTTTTTGTCTATATATCCTCACACTTCACAATTTTTTTTTCACTTCTGTGGGGTTATAACTTCTCTATAGTCCTCCTCAAGAATTATTTCATCTGCCTCGACGATCTGATAGGATAATAAGAATAATTAAAATATTCTACCATCTCTCTTCCTCACGTCTTCTCGGAATCTCTGGCACTCACGCGTTACTTCCGGTAGCCGGCAGCCAGACGACGAGTCAGAATCTGGCCTTCGTCCAGCTAGAGGCGCTCGCCATTATCAGACGACGTCTGGAATCTCCGACGGTTTGGGAAGAGGGACAGAACTCCTGGTCTGATTCGTAACACGACCTGCTTCCGGCCGGATATCCTTTTATTCAAAACCCGCTCCAGGAAATTACTTCAGATCTCGCTCATTATCTTGGGATGGCAAACAGAAGGCACGTTTTCATCTTTAGACGCATCAGAAACTCAAAGGAAATAATAACTGTCTTGGTCAGAAATTCAAACAAAGGTTAAAGAGTAAACTCTTTCACTGACAATTGTTAAAATATAGCAGTCTAGGCTGGCAACTAAAACTGAAACCGCTTTGAAACGTCCCAGACTTCACTCCTCTTCAGTGACGTAAAAAGGCTGTTATAAACGTTTAGTCCGTATTATGTCCAAGCACAACCAGAAAGTCTGAAAGAAACGCTATGCACTCATATAACGTCACAACCTTTGGTGTCGCCTGCTGATCCATCTCACGGGTGATGACGTCACGGTACGGGGCATTTTGATGTTAATCACTTGGTTGAACCGGAGCCCTTGACGGCGTGGCAAACCTGCGAAAGACAACCAAAATCAGGCATTACGAAAACAGGCTAAAACAAAACTTCAAAAGTACAAATGATTCAAACAACGTGTATGAGAGAATAGAGAGGATGAGCTGTACATATAGAGCTGTGAACTCGTTTGAACTCATTCACGGTTACTTGTAAAGTAGGATAAACCGTTCACTACACGCCAAGACGTATTGTTTCCTCATCAGTACACCTAACACATTATATTGCACACACGCTCTCTTACCTCACCTTAAGGAGACAAAAGATTATTCGCACAGAATAAAGACCAGGAGCCTACCTGGTCAGCCTAAACTTACTATATAAAAACGCGGGCGTCGATTTTATAATCAAATATTCATATTTCCTTTCAAGAACTCCAGTGGGTCAGTTCCCAAACTCAACGTGTTATCTCTCGAAGTCGTATCTTGTGTGTCTATATATTATACAACGTCAGTGTGCATTTACTTGATCAATACCTTGCACGACTTAGAAGCTATTATCGGAATATGTCGCTGGTTTCTGTTCGTGTATGTATCACTAACAGAATTTACGTTCACAGTATACATTCCTTGATTCCAAACGTATTGACCATGTATCTCCTAAGGAGCATATCAATGTTTAGTTCTAATAAGCGTTTTAAGGCACTTGCAATACAGTTATGTCATATAAGTGCCTAAGATTAGAGGTGTTGCCAGAGAGTAACATACAAGGAAAAGAATGAGAAAAGACAATTTTAAGGACGTCAGATGTTTGAATAGAAAGAAAGAGTAGACCATACACCAGGGCACCCGCCAACCACAACCATTATCAAGGAAATCATTATCTGAAGGGAAGGAAGTCGTATATGTACTTGTATTGGGCAATCTTCCTCTGTGGCTATCACCCAAGCAAAGCTGTTCCATACGTACTATTCTAAGATCGTCTGTCAAGACACATTTCACACACACACACACACACACACACACACACACACACACACA